CATCTGCTTCTGCAGGTGCCTCCTGGTCTTTGGGCTGAGAAGGGGTGAGCCACCACTCCACCATTGACCCTGTCTGTGGACACCCATCTCTTACCCCACCTCGGTGACTGCAGTTTCGCCAAGCGTCTTCACAAGACTGTGCGGCGCCTGGTGCCCGACTGCGATGTCCGCTTCCTCCGCTCTGAGGATGGCAGTGGCAAGGGGGCAGCCATGGTGACGGCAGTGGCCCACCGGCTGGCCGACCAACACCGAGCCCGCCAGAAGACCCTGGAGCCTCTGAAGCTGAGCCGTGAGCAGTTGCTGGAGGTCAAGAGGAGGATGAAGGTAGAAATGGAGCGAGGTCTGAGCAAGGAGACTCACGCCATTGCCCCCGTCAAGATGCTGCCCACCTACGTGTGTGCCACCCCTGATGGCACAGGTACGTGGCAGAGCTGCCACCCAGCTTACCATGGTGGGCCTTTTTCCTGCTCTTGACACTGGGAGGACTCCTTAGCCTTAGCATTGAGTGATTGGACCAGAATATATTTCTCCAATTATACTACAGATGCTCCTCAATTTACAATAGGGTTACATCCCAGTAAACCCACCGTAAGTTGAAAATACCATAGGTCGAAAGTGCATTTAATACACCCAACCTACTGAACATCACAGCTTAGCCTAGTCTGCCTTTAATATGCTTAGAACTCTTACATTAGCCTGCAGTTGGGCAAAATCATCTAACAATGAATAATACACTGTAGTGCCAACTTTTACCCTGACGATTGAGTAGCTGACCGGGAGCTATGGCTCACTGCCGCTGCCCAGCATCATGAGAGTATTGTACTGCACATCGCTAGCCCAGGGAAAGATCAAAATTCAAAATTCAAAGTACAGAGTCTATCGATTGCATACTGCTTTCACACCACTGCAAAGTCAAAAAATCGTTAAGTCAAACCATTGTACGTCGGTGACCGTCTATACTAGGCGGTCCAAGGCTCAACCAAAGCTTCTTCCTTTGCTAAAATTCGAACAATAATAATAGTAAATAAATACTTAGCGAATGCTTACTATGTGTCAAGCACTTCTCTAAGCATTTAACACATATCAGCTCATTTCATGTCTACTTATTAACGGAAGTTTGTCGTTAACTTCTTTTATTAACAAACTATTATGATTGGCACAAAACTGAGGCATAGACATGAAGAAACCTCCCAAGTTCACACAGCTAGAAAATGGCAGAGTTGGGATTTGAATCCATGGATTTTGGTTACAGGGCCAGTTCTTGTAAGCCCTAGGTCAGAGGTTGGCACACTAAGGCCCATATACTGAATCTGGCCCGCTGTCTATTTTTGTAAATAAAGTTTTATTAGTACACGGCCATTCCCATTTGTCTATGTATTGTTTATGGCTGCCTTGCACTACCATGGCAAAGCTGTGTGGTTGCAGCAGAAGCTATGGCTCATAAGCCTAAAATGTTTACTGCCTAGTCCTTTATAGAAAAACATTGTTGACCCCTGGTCTAGGTCTCGCAACCCAAGAAAGTGCAGTTTTTTTTTTCAGTTCATAGAAAACGATCATTGAGCCGGCCAGTGTAGTATAATCGGTACTGGTTCCATGGATAGAGACTGGGACTTGGTCCCTGCTCTGCCCACTTCTTCCTGTATGGCCCTGGGCAAATGACTTGGCCCAGCTCAGCCAGGTCACCAGAGGGGAATGCCGTGCCTCCCTCCCTGGGCTGCCTGAGGGTTGCCTGAACACCCTGTGAGGCATGAGGCACATGGTGATTGCCCAACACAGGAGAGTGTTTGACTCTACCGCTCCTTCTCTATTCTAGGTGGCCTTTGATTTAGCATGAATGACATGGTTAGATATTTTTGAGTATACTGTGTCACCCTGTCCCTTGTTCTGCAGAGCTTGTTGTGACATCTGTGGCCCCACCACTTGAACTCATTGAGAACCACTAAGGAGCCAGCAGGTCTCTGGGCCTGGGATCTTATTATCTTTACTGTTAGGTGGAGCTCAGAGTCCATCACCCCTGAGGTTGTCCAGGGGCATCCAAGAGAGCTCCACTTTAGGGGAAGGTGCTTTAGACCCTGTCATTCACTGCTATGGTGAAGTGGTGATGCCCTACTCATTGTCTTCCCGGGTTTATTTTCCAGAGAAAGGTGACTTCCTGGCCTTGGACCTTGGGGGCACCAATTTCCGGGTCCTGCTGGTGCGTGTGCGGAATGGGAAGCGGCGCGGAGTGGAGATGCATAACAAGATCTACACCATCCCGCAGGAGGTCATGCACGGCACAGGGGACGAGGTGAGGCGGGGCTGCCCTTCTAGGGATGAGGGGAAGGGACCCAGTAGACATCCGCTTCTCTCCTGGGAGGACAGTGCCTTCTTTGCTCACCCGTGGTCCCGGGGAGGGCTAGGTGGGCAGGACCCTGGTCTGGCCTAATCAGGGTTGCATCTGACCTTGCGAAGCTCCTGGGTGGAAGCCTCGCTTGCGCTCAGGCCCTGCGGGGGCGGCCTGCACCGGCCAGGCCCCTCTCTAGAGCCCAGCCCCTCTCTGCAGCTCTTCGACCACATTGTCCAGTGCATCGCCGACTTCCTTGAGTACATGGGCATGAAGGGCGTGTCTCTGCCGCTGGGCTTCACCTTCTCCTTCCCGTGCAAACAGAACAGCCTGGACGAGGTAACATGTCATCCCAGGGGGCTCGCCGATGGGCTTTGTTGACTTTAAACCAGCCAGAGTGTAGAGCAGGTGAGAGGGTTGAGCCGAGAGGATGAAAAGAAGGGCATGAGGGGCCAGTTGGGAGGGGATGAGTGAGTCAGAGCTGATGGAGGTTAAGTAGATTGGCTGGGCTGTAACAATCTTTTTGATGACAATGATGACACTGATCAAAATATCAACAACTAACGTTTTTTGAGAACTTTATGCCGGGTGCTATGCCAGGCTTCCTATGCACATTATCTCATTTAACCCTCACAGCAACATGTAAGGTAGGTGTTTGTACGCCCATTTTGAAGGAAGGAAAATGAGGTCTACAGAGATGCCAAATATCAGAAACTGCCATTTCTTAGGTTGCAAGACGTAGACCAGGTCCTAGAGCCACGATTTGAATTCCAGTTTCCTGACACCCGAGTCCGTGCTCTCGGTTATGCTCACCTGCTCCTAAGGCCCTTGTTTTGGGCTCGGGACATTTGCATTTATCTCCTATCTTTCGGATGCTCTCGCTCTTCTCTAGTCTCACCTTTGCTTTTCATTCTCTTGGGTGAATGAAGCAGGTCAGGGAAGACTGGTGCTCTCAGATATTCTGGGCATACGGGTATATTGAAGTGTAGGAGACCTGAGTAGGTGATGTTCGGGTTTGACCCGGGTTAATACTAGGTGTATTAGATGGTGGAATACTGTTATGTCAGCAGTTGTTGCTCTACATCTCTGTTGTCTCAAAGTTTATGTGCATGGTACAAGTGGACAGTATGCTGTGGATGGAGTTGCCAGGGTACCAAAGGCAGAGTTCCTGCTTTAGGTGCTTACAAACAAACTGGACTAATGAAGCAAGCTCAGAAGAGCCAGAGCTGCTGTCTGGAATGGCAGCAATAGGACGTGGAAGCCCTGGGGACACGCGGTGTGGTGGTATTCTGAGCACATACGTGGATGGTATGAGGGACCCTTGGCTCATCTAAGTCAGAAGAATGAGTTGATGGGGAAGAAAGGCAAGCAGGCCTGCAGTGTGGAGCAGGGCACGTAGGTGAGAACAGTCACAGGGATAGGGAGCTTGGCCCAGTGGCAAGAAAGGCTGCATTTCCCACAGGGTTCCTGGAACAGCAACCCTCTCATTGTTCGGCTGAGTTTTGTAAATGCCTCCTACTCCTCCCCTCCAAATGTTAAATTCACTGAGGCAGTTAAGATTTTCGGATGTTCTGCCTTAAAAATCCTGCTTAAAGCAGTGTTTCCTGATACCTGTTAACGTTTGTCCAATGTTGCTTTTAGCTTTCCAATTTCTTTGTTTCATGTTTCATGTTTTTTCCAGTGTCATTTTTTTTTTAGCTTCAGGTTTTCAAAGCCTTCACGTTTGCATCAGTTTGGCAAAGGAAATTATCAAACTTGTGGATAAATATTTATGTGATAGTTAATGAAACATTAATTATAACAAAGGCATTAGAAACAAACGTAATTGTTCAGTGGTTGGGAAATCATTAATAAATTATGAGCGATTCACTGCCTTGTATCAGTGACTAGTTTCTTGGAAGAAATTTCAATGATATGGGAAAATACTGGTGGTAATACCAACCAAAAAAATTTTTTTTAAAGAAAAATGTAATCTCTATCCTATACAAATGTACAAAGTATATGATTAATAGGAAGATGAAAATGTAACACTCCAGTGTATATACTTTCAGACTTTTCCTACTGAAATATTTTTAAACAGGAAATATCTTACTTTTCATGCCAACATGTATATATCTATATATTTATTTAGTGGCCTGAAAACATGTTAACTGTTTCTTCCTGAATCATTTAAGATTCCAGGTCATCGTATTAGATTTTATTCTATATGCTCTAAGTTTCTGTAAGGAGCATGTGTTTGGTCTAGAACTATTAAACTTAAGAGCAAATAAAGCAAAAGCCAAGTTCTATCTGTTCTATTTGCTGTGAGCCGGGTTCTTCTTTGGTGAGATGATCCTATTGATGGCAAAATCAGCAGGTGCTGAGATCCAGAGGCCTGAAGCTGCCTTGACTAGCTGGTGGCCTTGAGCAAGTCTCCCCAGCTATTGGGGCCTTTGCTTGTCTTATTAAGGACTACCTGAAATAATGTTATTTGGTTATTTGAACATTTTGTAAACCTAGAAGTGCCAAAATACAAAATTTTGTCAGAGAGGTGAAGCTAATTTGCAGACAAGAAAGTTGGGTGGAGATAAGCATGCAGGTGTTTGGATGTAGGTGTGTAAACCAGGACGCTGTCAGATTGTACTTTGTTTTTCTGACTCTCCCAGGATCTGAACACAGTGTAACACATTCAGTTTGTCATGTGATGCCAAAGTTCTGGGCCATGAAATGCCAAGCTGATGGGCATGAACAACCCAACAAGACCTAGAGGAACCATGCGAGTGGGCGCATAATGAGCCCAGAGCCCATTTGTGGATTTTGGCCTCTTGGGAAGGGGGCCGGGGTGTCCTTCACACTTGTTTTTTTGATGGGCTGTCACAGCAAAGAAGGAGCCAAGGAACCAAACGCTTTTCCCTTTTTGATCATTTCTCCCACGTATGCCGCCACCATGTTTCTGCTCCTAGAGGATGCCATGACGTGCTGTGGAGGGCCTCATTAAAGATAAGGGGGCCCCTGGGAGTGCTTCCCTCACGGGGATGGTGATGATGCCTAGACACCACCCTAACTATGGGCAAGGCACTTGTTCACTGTGTACTGGAGCTTGAAAATGAAGAGACACATACTGACCTCTCTGATGTAAATATAGGATGGGGACAGGGCAGACTGCGTTTCCTCGTGAAGGGAACTAGCGTGTAGAAATCAGTTCCCTGGCAAGGGACAGCTGTGTGTTGCTTGTGGTCTATTCATTGGGAGTCGGAGAGTGAGTCCTGCTCTTCTCCTCCAAGCTGCAGGCCTTGAGCAAGTTACTCCGGAGCCCAAGTTACCTGTAAAATGGTCATGATAATGAAATAGATTTCTTTATTAGAAAGATATTTTGCAAAGTTGCTGTGAGGATTAAATGATGTGACACGTGAGATGTGCTGAGCCTAGTACCTGGTATGTTGTACACACTCAATAAGTCCCAGCAAGTGAAATTAGTTTAGAATCACTTGTGAGTGAGCTGATTGGTTATTAAAGGGAATCTATATAACCTCTGAGGCTGAGAACTAGAAGCGTAGCCGGGGCCCAGGAGTGATTCAGCAGCCCATTTCTGATACCCTCAACCCTGCTCCTGTGTAATTTTCAGAGCATCCTCCTCAAGTGGACTAAAGGCTTCAAGGCATCTGGCTGTGAGGGCGAGGATGTGGTCACCCTGCTGAAGGAAGCCATCCACCGGCGAGAGGTGGGAGAGACACGGCATGAGGCCTGAAATGATCTGTGTGTTCAGAAAGTGGGGGAATGCTGAGAGCAGTTGAAATGGTTAGGCAGATAATTAACTTAGTCCTTCAGCAATTCTTGAATGTCAAGCCCTGCTCTTGGCACTGGGGATTCAGAAATGACCACAACAAACTCTTGTATTGTAAGCAAACGCATAAGCTACTATCGGTTCTGTAGAGCTATGAAGAAAATGAAGTTGAGTGAGGACAAAGTGAGTGGGCTGGGGAAGGAGCATTCTTTTAAATAGCATAACCAGGGAAGTCTCTGACATTTGAGCAGAGACCTGAATAAAAAGAGAGTGAGCCATGTCGTGTATGTTTTAGTTACATATAAATCTCCCTTGCAAGTGTCTGAAGGGAGAACATTGTGGTTCTTTGTGGACTGGAGATCTGTTTTTGCCCTCTCAGGAGTTCGACCTGGATGTGGTAGCCGTGGTGAATGACACAGTCGGGACTATGATGACCTGTGGCTATGAAGACCCTCACTGTGAAGTCGGCCTCATCATCGGTAAGGACCTAGGCTGGCCTTTCCATGAGTGGATGCACGGCTCTGGGTGGGTGGAAGACGATGCTGAGGGAGGCTCTGACATCTCTGTGATTGCCAGGCACGGGCTGCAACGCCTGCTACATGGAGGAGATGAGGAATGTGGAGCTGGTGGAAGGGGACGAGGGGCGGATGTGTGTCAACATGGAGTGGGGGGCCTTTGGGGACAATGGATGCCTAGAGGACCTCCGCACGGAATTTGATGTGGCTGTGGATGAGCTGTCCCTCAACTTTGGCAAACAGAGGTAGGTACCCAACTGTGTGTGGTCCCTGGGATGTGTATCCCAGAACTGACGGTGATGAATGATCAACTCCTCTAGAACAGCAAAACCCAGGACATTCTTCCTCTTGAGATGTTAATAGAAAGGATTTCTTTGGAAAGAGTTTCTTGTCCAATATGTCTGGAAAGTTCTGAGCGAGATCCCTTTCCCCCTTCTGGACTGCGACACTTTCAAAGTCCAGTTGGGAATAAAATCACAACAGTTGTGTTGCAAAGAGAATTTCATAAAGGAAACTGGTCACACAAGTGTTAGAAGGATGAAAAGACACAAAGGGGACACTGAGGAACACAGAGTTAGTACATGTAAGAAACACCTCCCACCCCGAAGACTGAAAACAGGCAGGAGAGAGAGCATTGAGACTTAGGTGTGGGACGATGAGAAAAGCAAATGACAGTCGAACCACCTGCTGACACCAGGGTGAAGGAGCTGAAGCATTGCTGGGTGAGGCAGACAGTGACAGGAAGCAAACAGGGGCATATCTCTTCCTCCTCCTCCTTCCATCCAATATGTAGAGCCCTCTGTTGTCAGGACTGGACGAGGGGCCAGCCCCAGCATCACAAAGCCCCTAGTGTGGTGTGGGGGAATCTGGGCCAAGAGATAACAGTATAGGATCCAACATACTTCCTACTATGAAGACATTGCCGTGTTTCCTAACTAGATTACGCAGGGGCCATAGTTCTGCAGATTATACTTTGCAAAACATTTGTCTAGTGTAGAGGTCACAGGCAACATTAATGAGGTTACACAGGTTGGAGTAAGACAAGATGGAGTGACAATGGGGTCTTGGTTGAAACCGGGGACCTCGTCTTTTGTAAGGCACTATGCACGACCAAAAGACCTTCGAGTCACTGAGTAGTCAAGTTCAGTTTTAGAGACCAGGACGGAGGGTCTCCAGCTGGCACTAGTTACTTAAGTGATGATGATTAGTTTGAAGAGAAAGCATGCTAAATGCCTAGTGGGATTAAGGATTAAGGCTCCATGTCCTACCTTTCTCCTGGAAGTGTGGTGGTGTTTGGGTGTGTGTATTCCTTCTTGAGGAGTCAGGAATAAGCCTTGGAAGGGAAATGAGCCCAGAGGGTGCGGCAATTCCAAGGAACCCTGTGGGCCTCGGGCACTATATCCAGCTTCACCAAAGGCTGTGGGTCAGTGTGCTCAATACCAGGAATCCTAGTGAATCATTTTCTTTCCCACCAAGAGGACTCTGCATGCCCTCTACTTTCGAATGTGTTGGGGGTGACTGAGGTGGTCCACTGTATCTTAGCAAATGATCAGTGGCATGTACTTGGGCGAGATTGTCCGTAATATCCTTATCGATTTCACCAAGCGTGGGCTGCTCTTCCGTGGCCGCATCTCAGAGCGGCTCAAGACCAGAGGAATCTTTGAAACCAAGTTCCTGTCTCAGATTGAGAGGTGAGAATTTAGGGCTTGGAGTAGGGTGGGACCATGTTCTCCTAATGGACAGACAAGCTGAAGGATTTCCACAGTGCAAGTAAAGTCAGGGCATGGCTTACGTAAGGTCAGTTTAGTAGCTGACACATTTGTATCTACAGTGTGTATTTCAAGTACTTTACGGACAATTGGCATTTTAAGGGAAAATATAACATTCTCATGAAACATGCTAATCTGGCATGAGTCCATGCAAAGTAATGTTATTGGGTTTTAGAACAAATATCGAAGTTAGAAAGATCCCTGCTCATAAGATGCAAATCGGAATTCACAAAGGGAGATAACTTACTAAAGCACTTAGCTTGGCTGGGAGGTTAAGTGCTGGTTGCAGTAAGGCAACCGAGACTGAGCGAAGGTGGCTTTTCAGGCAGTGCAGAAACATGCCGTGTGGCGGCTCGTTAAAGCAAAGCCTCCCCACTCCCATCTAATGGCAGAAAAGTCTGCTCCAAATTAGAATAGTGAATTTCAGAGCCCTTTAAAAATTAATGCTGTGTCTTTACTCTCAGGCGTATGGAAGAATAGGAACTGACAAGGGTGAGGCCCTAAGCTCTCTGCACTAATGTACAAAAAAGACACATTCTACATGTCTGTTTACGTGTGCAAGATGATGATTCCAGGGTTCTCAAGTAGTTCCCTTTATGTAATAGGGTTTATTTTCTTCCTACAATGTTATTTACGCTTGTTTCATAAATAGTGCACAAGTAGATTTTGGCCCACCCAGGGTAGGGGAGTAGAAATAGAACAGGGATTTATCTGCTGGTGGCTGGCAATGCTTGTCCTGCTGACCCGTGCACAGCAATGACAGAGGGGACATGAAGGAGCTTTGCAACTGAAAATGGCCACATACGAGCATGATCTTGTCTTTATTATTTCCAAATGAGTGGAATACTTAGACAGTGAACTTCCTTTTGTTTTGAGTATCAGTGTTATAGTAGCAATGCCCTACCTCATCTGGGCAAACTGGAATAGGGAGCTATTTCTTCAGGTTCCTGTCACACTCAGATGCTGAGTCTGTGGTCCACTGGGATGGCATGGCACTGGTTCCCAAACTGAGTTCAAGAACAGGAGCCACCGTGCAGGGCAGTGGCCTTTATGCTCAGCTTCTGGATGGCCGGGCCTCTGGAGTGATGGACCCCCACTTGGCACGTGACTGACCACTTGCTGTCTCCTCCTCCAGTGACTGCCTGGCCCTGCTACAAGTTCGTGCCATCCTGCGCCACTTAGGGCTCGAGAGCACCTGTGACGACAGCATCATTGTCAAGGAGGTGTGCACGGTGGTGGCGCGGCGGGCAGCCCAGCTCTGTGGTGCAGGCCTGGCTGCTGTGGTGGACAAAATACGAGAGAACCGTGGACTGGACACTCTCAAAGTGACGGTGGGCGTGGATGGGACCCTCTATAAGCTACATCCTCAGTGAGTACCTGACCTCCACCCTCTCTGTCCCTCTTTCTTCTTCCATCTCCCAGTTCTTTACTTACTTTCTCTTCTCTCTGTTTTCACTTTAATGCAAATAATCAGGCATTCCAAAGAGTATACATGATGCATATATTATAGATTAAAAATTAATAACCAGAAGGCGGCCTGTGTTACCCCGCCTGGCCTGGAAGTCCCCTCTGAGCCTCGCCGCAGTTGCACCCTTCACTCCCCCTGCCTGGGGTAAGTGCTGTGGTGACTCAGTCCCTTGCTTTCATTTTTCCACATGTATCTGTGTCGGCCTCTACATTGATTAGTTTCACTTAGTTTTAAACCTGCCACAGGAATCAGATGGCACTTCTGCTTTCATGACTGCCTTTTCCTACATGGCATTTTTGGTTTTGAGATGCATCCATATCGAAGTATGCATTTGTAGTTCATTAATTTTCAGGGCTGTATAATGTATCGTTCAATGAATATATTATAGTTTATTCTACTGCTAATGGATACTGGGTTATTTCTAGATTTTGACTATTACAAGTAGTACTTCTGTGAACATTCTGATAAAGGGATGCTGAAACTCTGGAGCAAGAATTTTATCTACAGCCTAGACCTGGAACTGGCAGACTGCAGTCATGGCTGTTTTTGTAAATAAAGTTTTATTAGGATGCAGCCATGCCCATTTGTTTATGTATTGTCCATGGCTGCTTTCAGCTACAATAGCAGAGCAGTCATAATAGACCCTGTGGCCCACAAAGCTGAAAGTATATCTACTGTCTGGCCTTTTAAAGAAAAAGTTTCCTACCACAGCCCGCTCCCAGTATGGAAGTACTGAATTCCCTTTTATTTTTACTCTTTTCTCTGTCTTTCTCCATCACTCTTCTTTCTCTCCTCTCATCACCATTTCTCTTTTTCCTTCTTTACACATTTGCCTGTGTTCCGAATAAATTATTTCAGTGTCAGCCCCTCTCCCTTGGAAGCTTTTTGGCTAGAAGTTAGAAGAATAGAGCTGAGCCCCCGGCCTGGGCAGTTGGTGGGATAGAGTGAGGATGGAGAGACTCATCGCTTGAATTGTTATCTGCTCTCACCGTGATTGCTTCAGGGAGTTGAGAGGCATTCCCTGTGTATTTCATTAACTATACACAGTTAGTGAAAAGAGTGGCCCTTGAGAAGTTCCAAGTCTCTTTTGTGGATGTCACTGTGAAAATCGGCGCTTCCATCACAGATGAGGGTTGGGAGGGGAATAGTGCTGAGCCTGGGGCTTGGTGTTAGGAGCCTCTGTCTGGCTAAACAGATGGGAAAGGCAGATCCTTTCAAGGTCCCAACAGCAACTCCTGAGCCTGCTCCTTTTGTCTTTAGTGACATTTTGGATTAGATTGGGTCTGATGTGAGTCAATACTCCTGGAAAATAGAATGTCACATGAGTGGGACTTGGTCCTTCCCTCCAGAGTTTACAGGTTATGCACTTCTGGAAGACACTGACTGTTGAACCTCTTTCATTGATCTATTTTAAGAACACAACTTGCCAGTGTCTCAGACATTTGAATCTTAGCCTCCCACTTGCCCACTGTGGCGTAGAATTTGGGAGCGTCTCTAGCCTCTCCACCCTCAGTTTTCTGATACACAGTACACATAGTAAGTGTTTCTAATACATGGTAGCTGTCATTCTTTTCTTCATCTTAATTATTCTTGGGTTTCCTGCTTCACTTCATAGGGTCTTATCTCTGAGGACACAAATCAATTGTGACTAAGGTGTTTTTTTCTGTGTCTGCCTCTCAACTTTTCCAGCTTTGCCAAAGTCATGCATGAGACAGTGAAGGACCTGGCTCCGAAATGTGACGTGTCTTTCCTGGCTTCAGAGGACGGCAGTGGGAAGGGGGCGGCTCTCATCACTGCTGTGGCCTGTCGCATCCGTGAGGCTGGACAGCGATAGAGTTCCTGAAATCGAAAGAGACTTCCTTTGGTTCCCCTTCTTCCTTGCTTTAAATTATAAGATACCATCCCCTGTGTCAGAGACGGATCCCTCGGCTCTACCTTGGCAGAGAGGACCCTATTGGACTGTGTTTTGTCTCTGTGTATCTTCACCGTAGAGTTTGGTGCCCAACCCTTGATCCTCCAGAGATAAATACAATTTGAAGTAAGGATTTGTTCATGCTCATCACAACCATTCCCCTTGATTATCTTAAAACTTTAAGCGAATTTTAACCTTTAATAACCCCCCTGGCCAAATTCCATGTTGCTGCGTAATCCTACAGGATGGAGACACTAACAAAAAGATAGGGTTGCTTCACCTTGAACCCTGGCTGCTTCACAGTGGACCCTGAACATGACATTTCTAGGTGGAGAGCGTCTGCAGCATGGAGGTTGATACTGTTTCTCTTCTCAGACCTGGGAGGTCTCCATGAACTTCAGCCTGATTCTCACACAGGCAGCACGTGGGGGAGGAGGAGGGGCGGGAAGGGGGGAAAATCCATGTATAGCCATGTGGCAGGCCCTCCTCTTCAACCTCATCTGTAGACATTGCCCTGGAGGATTACAGCAGTTGCTGTTCCTGGAATCAAAGCATCCTGAGTCTGAGCAAGCAGAACCAAAGCCACGGGTTGACGTGTCTGACAAGTGAGCTTGTTGTCACATCTCCTTGGGAGTTCATGAGTCATCCATGAGCAATGGACTTTTAAGGGAGGATAGGGGGGCTTTTCGCACCATTTAAAAAAATTTTCCTGCAGAAGTGTAAACACTGTATTTTCATTTTAATTTATGCTTGAAGTTTATTTAGTTCACGAAATACATCCGCTCCTTCCTCTGGACTCCGTATGTAATGATCGGTTGTATGTAATGTATTTATGTGTTAATTTGTCGTGTATATAGATACACAGGGTCTCCTCAGACCTGGCCTCATTAGTAGATCCGCGTAGTTAAAGGATGGAAGGCGAAGATACTAATCAGTTCCTAGAAATACCTCATTCGCCTGCAGGAAGAGAAGGGAAGCCTCTTTGGGGTGAGTGAATGGCTAAGCACCTTCCCAATGGCTCCTCCTTTCTCTGCAGACTCAGAAACTTGGAAAGCAGGGGACAGAGTGAAGGAGGCTGGGCCTATGGATTGGAGGAGCCACAGCCACTGGCTGCTCTCTGTAGAGACTTTCCTGAGAAAATATGGCGTGGGATGTTAACCAAAGGAAACGGGAATCATTTCAGACTCATTGCTTAGAAATCTTCATTCTTAATACAGTCTGTAGCATTTTAAAGCTCTTTAACAAGATAGAGGAAGACACCAAAAAAACCGTTTTAAAAAATCGTGTCTGACTGTTGATAGCAAACCAAAACAATGAAACAATCAAAGGAACGAAACCTCAGGGACAGCAATTTTGGGGATAAGTGTCCTCCTAGCAAACTTGGTTTTGTAAATGTTTTGCAAGAAGCTTGTGGAAGGCTTCTCGAGGCTGAGCTGTTTTTAGACACAGTGTTTATTTCAAACTGCTGGGGGCAGGGGCCAATGGGAGAAGTTGGGGAAGGAGTGGCATAAAACCTTCCATATCCTACTTTTCAGGAGTGCAGTTAATTCTGAACTATTAAGCCCACTTCTGCCCTAAAGTATGACACCCACACACATTAAACCTGAATACTAAGTTTTAAAGAAGGAATGGCCTTGTAACACTATTGAGTAGGATACAAGGATCAAAACAGAAAGATGGAAAGAAATGAATCAATAGCACCCAATCAAACTTGTACTGAGAACAATGTCTAGATTTGTGTATAACTAAAGGATGTCCATGAAATAGTGATGAATTTTAACTTTGAAACTTGACAGTTAGGTTCCATCTATGAAATTGCACATTTTTTAAAAGGGTAATACTGTGTGTGTGGCTATGAAAGAGATGTGTTGGTTTCCAAAAAGGAACACTGGTAAGTGCATTTTGAACATTCATGTTCCCACAATTAGGTGACAGTTCCTTGCTGATGCTGCTTTGCCTGATGTAAATACAATGAATCTCCATCTAGGACTGGGGTGTGCTGAATGGCGGATCATCTTAAATCCTCAAACACTCAGTCTGTGAAGATGTCGTTATGTACAATAGAGAACTAGTTGAATTAACTATGTGATGTTAACTATTATTAATAAATTTTAACATTTTCCAAAATATTCCATGTGTGATTCATGAGCATTTACAAGAGTGCAGTCATCTTTTGGGCATATTGGTACTTGGCCAGTATGAATAGTTTATGGGCGTTGTGATTTTGACTGTATGTGCTCAACAGGGGTAAACTGAGCATAAATGAACCGGGAGGTTTCATCAAGTGACAGTTTTATTCAAGGACCTTAAGTGAATTGCAGTTCAGAAAACACTACCAGGTAATACCCAGAGTGTGCTCAAGAAAAAGAAAAGTTGAGAGTTTTTGTAGTAAGAAAAGCACGTTCTTGAGAAGAATCAATTCTGCATTCTTAGCTTCAGGATTGGTCTGAGATGGTAATCTTCCAGATATCGGTGTTCGGGACCATGGAATAGTCTTTCCTAAATTCTTCAGAGTCTTAAAGCTGGGTAGGGGGTGCCCTAGCTGGAACCACAGAGCAGGGAGGGGAGTGGTTAGAAATACCCTGGCTTCTCCTGCCTTCTAGTTTTCTGCAGTGTATCCCATTGGCTGAAACTAGCAGGAAGCCAGGTGGCAAAGGGAGCCTGGAAAACGTAGTGCCTGTGACTCGGAGCGGGAAAGAATGGGGCCTGGGGCTGACCGATAAGTAATTGGCATGTACTGTATAAAACCATGATATTGTAATAGAAGAATATTTGGTATCACAGAAAATGTTGACAGCATGCTGCTTCATGCCAAAAATATGTTGCAGAACAGTATATTATGGTTCCTTTTTTGTTTAAATTATTACACAGGACGAGATATAACGTATTTCCGTGCATGCCCCCACTGCCTCGCTGAACTGTGGGCATGAATGAGACCTCCACCTATATGGCCATGGCCTCAGCCTCACTCCTCAGCAGCTGCCCCTCAGATTCCAACCCACCCCCCAGGAGTTGGGAACCCCGGAGGGGCTCTGGAGCACCTGGTTCTGTTTGGCCTGCCAACTTCAGCCAGAGGCTGCTCAGGGCAATTTTGGTAGCACCTGCCCTCCCTAGGTCACTGCTGCCCCACTGCAGAGCTTTGGGGTAGAGCTGCTTTCCTATTTCTCCTGGGGCTCCAGGGTGGATGTAGACCCTTAATGCTTCACAGGTTATAATACTGGACAGATGCTCAGAAGGGGACTTTCAGGGTGTAGAACTTAAACTCGGCTCCTGCTTGGAGACCCTCAAGGCTGTTGAGCTACCTGTGCTCATGGGTTTCCTGGGGCTGCCTCCCTGCCCAACTCCCACCTCCTCCATGGGGTCCCTCACCACTGGAGAAATCCATTTCCTTCAAACTAACTGGACAGTCTGCACCCAAGTTGCTTGCAGCTTGGAAATAGCTTTTCCAGCTTCTGCCAAGCCCATTCAGCTTTTTTTTTTTTTTTAAGTCTGGGCTGGAGGTGCAAAAGGCTAAACTGCTCATGCTCTTCCCCAGTTTGGGGCATTTTCTAGTCTGAAAGAAACTTTATTGCTTTTAAATTTTCTTATTGTCATTTATCCTCATTCTTTCCCATTTCTCCACTCATGGCCTGCAATCATGTACTTACTCTGTGATATGCAATTTATTTGTCTTTGTGAGGCATATATTGTTTTGTGTGAAAGTTTTTTAATTTGCAAAATACTAGTGGCTAAAAGTCTTTTTTTTAATTTAAAGCATCATGCTTTTAAAGACTCATAGATGCTGCTCTATGCACATCCAGCTCATTACTTGCCGTTAGTGCATAATATCTCATTGCATGCATGCACTCTGTTTTCCATCCATGCTCCCAGTGATGGACAGGTGGATTGACTTAGCTTTGGCTACACAAACATCCTGGCAACAAGCATCTTTGCACATGTCCCCTTAATCATCTTTGAGATAATCTCTCTGAGCAAGTACCCAGGGGCAGGAGAGCTGGATCATAGGTTGGGCATTTACTTAATCCGAACCCTCCCCCTCCTGCCAGATTACTTTTCTAAAAGGCTGCCCCAATCCCCCATTTCCCCCAGCAGTGAATCTTGAGCAATGCTTGGCATTATCCAGCTTTTTTATTTCCACTAATGTGCTGAGTATAAAGTGAGATTGCATTGCGCGGCTGCTTTAATTTCTCTAATGACTACGAGTTTGAGCATCTCTTTATATATTTCTTAAAGGCCTTTTAATTATAGGATTTTTTTTTCAGTTAATTACCTGTTCATATTCTTTGCTGATTTTTCAACCAAGGTTCTTTCTCTTTCCTTGTTGATTTCCTTGTTGATTATTAGAGTCCCTTGTCTAATGTAGACATCTGTCCCTTGATGGCTTTACATATGGCATGTATCTTCTCCCTATCTGTTAATTTTGTCCACATCATCCTTTGTTAACTAGGAATCCTTTCTTTTGTAATCAAATTCACCAATCCCTTTTGCTTTGTGGTTTGTACTTTTGAACTTTCTCACCCTTAGCCCACCAACACTGACTTCTATTAATTTTGTTTACATTTTTTCTTTGTACTTTAAAGGGTTAATGTAAACCTTAGGGAGTTCATCTTTCTGTGTAATATCAGGTAGAGTCCAATTTTTTTTTTCCATGTCATTAGTGAGTTGTCTGCCTTTGCCTACTGATTTGTGACAGCTTTTCTGAACTATAGCATTAAGTTCACAAGGGCCTGGAAAAATGCTGTAGATTATAGAAGCTTTGTTCATCTCCTCTTGTGACCACATCAAAGTTGTGTCGGAAACATGGAACAAACAGCAAGCAGAGTCACCTGGGGTCTAGATGAAAGAAGCCCTACAACTAGGGAGAGATTATCACCATGCAATGGTAGGAGGTAGGAGGGGGCGAAGATACAAGGCTACCCGTCCAGAGCGGCCGAGTGGGATGGAGGCTGCGGCAGCTGTAGCTGGCTGGACAGACGTTTCTTTTAAAGGGGCTCTATCTTCGATTGGGCTTTCCCAGTAACGGGCTCGCTTGATCCGAGCACCAGCTCTGGGTGGGCTGCTGGGACCAGGGCACCAGGGACTTATAGGGTTACTCTGAGTCATTGGAGCCTGGCCCTGAGGTGAGACTTTCTCCAGGGGAGAAGTGATGGAGGCATCCATTGTCTCTCTGTTGAGCCCTTCTCCTCCCAATGAACGGACCCAGCGCCACCGTAGCTGAGATGTCATCAAACTGGATAGCAGAGGTCTCTGCCCAGAGGATTCCCTGAAGCTCTGCCTCCCCCAACTCATGGCTCTACCCAAGCCATATCCAGTTGTATCCGCAGCGAGTCCTGTGCCACTTGGTGAGCAGCGCCAAGACTCACACTGGTGGCAGCTGACCTTGGTTTCTGGTGTGGCTTCTTAAGGCAACTATAAGCACAGCACCTATGGATTGATTGCTTGCTGAATCTTAACAGGTGACCCTGGAGGGGCATGGGCTGAGGCTAAACTTGGCCTGCAGCTGAACCCCTCTCAGGACTGTGCCACTGGACACCAAAGAAGCAGAAACCATATGAGAGAACAGAACAGAGATCCAGGAATAATGGAGTCAAGCAATCTAACAGATGCAGAGTTTAACACACTGGTTATAAAGATACTCAATGAACTTAAGGGAAGTGTAGATGAATTCAGTGAGAACTTTAACAAAGAAATAAAAAAAAAAAATGGAAATGGAAATTGGAAAAGGGAACCAGTAAGAAATAAAGAATACATTATCTGAGATGAAGAGTATATTAGAGGGAATCAACCAATATAGAGGATGAGGAAGCCAAGAATACCCAATCAAAATGTCAAGAAAAGAGACTAAGGATGTAATAATAATTTAAGGAGCCTATGGAACAAAATTAAAGGTAACAACATCCATGTCATAGGGGAACCTGAAGAGGGAGAACAAGAAGTTGAAATCTATTTGGAGAAATGATGATGGAAAACTTTCCTAACTTGGTGAAGAAAATAGACATACAACCCTAGGAAGCTCAGAAAGTCCCAAAAAAGATGAGCCCAAAGAGGTCCATACCAAGACACAGCATAATTAAAATGCCAAAGGTTAAATACAAAGAGAGAGTCTTGAAAGCAGCAAGAGAAAAGCAGTTAGTTATCTAAAGGGGGGTCCCATAAGACTGGCAGCTGATTTCTCAAAAGGAACTTTGCAGGACAGAAGAGCTTGGCACAAAATATTCAAAGTGATGAAAACTCAGGGTCTACAACCAAGAATGCTTTATCCAGTAAGCTATCATTTAGACTCGAAGGACAGATAAAGAGCTTCCCAGAAAAAAATAAGCTAAAGGAATTCATTAATACCAAGCTACTAATACAGGAAACGTTGGAGGGACTTCTTTAAGAAGAAAAATCATGTATCAAAAACATGAGTAAAAATGGTAATAACTACATATCTATTAACAAGTACATCAAATGTGAAAGAATTAAGTGCTCCAACCAAAAGATAGGGAAGCTGAATGCATAAGAAAACAAGACCCCTACATATGCTGCCTACAAGAGACTCACTTCAGATTAAAAGACACACATAGACTAAAAGGAGGGGGATGGAAAAAGATATTGCCTTGATGAACTAGAGGGTATTGTGCTGAATGAAGTAAGTCAGATAAAGACATATCACATGATTTCATGTACACGTGGAATCTAAAGAACAAAATAAACAACAACAAAAACGGAAACTCATAGATACAGAGAATATTTTGAGGGTTACTAGATGGGAGGACGATGAAAAAGGGCAAAGAGATTACGAAGTACAAATGGATAGTTACAAAATAGTCATGGAAATATAAAATGTAGCATAGAATAGTCAATAATGTTGTAAAAATGTAAGGGGAAAGAGGGGTACTAGATTTAGTGGGGTGACCACTTGTAAGTTATATAGATATCCAATCACTATGCTGTACAATTGAAACTAATATATTATTGTATGCTAACTATAATTTTAAAAACTCATTGAATTGTGCAATGTAAATATTAGCAATTAATTGTTTATTATATTTCAATAAAGCTGGGGTGGGGGGGGGAACAAAAACAAAAGTTCACAAGGGCCTGGTCTGCTTCTGATTCTTTTGCTTATTTTTGAAACAGATTGTTT